AGTGTTTGCCTTTGTTCTTATCAGTTGTGCTACACCCTGTGATTACTTTCCAGAAACCAAAAGCAGCCAACTCTGTGAAATTTGTGTGCCTGGGGAACTACCACTCGATCAATTTGCCTTGTAAATCTTCCTGACAGTGTATATGGATATCACCTCACTTTACACGCAGTTCTGTGATAGCAAGTCAGCCCTTCTCATTCTCATAAATTAATATTTTAAAATGCAAAAAAAAATATTTTTATGGGGGATGCAGAGGTTTTTTCTTAATGTGTTGCCTGCATGGACACTTCACACGAAGCTACTTTCTCTTAGGCATTCCCTCCCTCTCAGAAAATGGTTTTGTACAGTAAAGGAAAAAGAGTATTGCCTAGTTCATGAGAGCTGAACACAGCCAAAATATTCCTCTTTGCATACAAAAATCTTTTGAAAGCTCTATTGGAATTGGCTCAGTCATTCTTGCGTGTCTCTGCCTCTAACAAAAAGGAACATCCTCTAAAAGATTCACTCAATCTGTTCTTAAAGTTTACAAAACAACCATCCTCTCTCACAGCTCTTTTTTCTTTTTTCCTTTTTCTTTTTTCCTTTTTCTTTTTTCTTTTTTCTTTTTTTCTTTTTTCTTTTTTCTTTTTTCTTTTCTTCTTTCTTCTTTCTTTTTTTTTCTTTTTTTCCCCCCCTTTGTTTTTCTTTCTGCTTTGTTGTCTTTTTCTTTGTCTTTTTTCCTATTTTTTCTGACCGTGCCATAGAACAACTTTGTACCTCACCACAGCTCAGCATGATGGGCTTATATCTGAGTAGGATTTTATAAGTGTTAAGGTAAAGCAAATGACAGTTGGGTTGCTTGTGTGAAACTGGCTGAGGAATCACAGCACCTAGAAATCATGACTACAGCACTTGAGTGGACAACATGCAGTTACCTCAGGGTGTGACCTCTCTTTCTGTCGTTACAGTAAAATTAAAAAATAAAGTAACCTTGGAAGCCTTAATATCATGAACCTTAAAACTGGGGTATAAAAATCACTGTAAAGAATAGCATCCAGGAAATGATTCAATCAAGGACTGAAAACTAGACAGAAGTATTTACACTGCAAATATTTATTTATTGGCTGTAATATATTCATTGATTTTACAGTCTTCTATGGCTACGTCTAGTGCAATAATAAATGTGTTTGAGGAGAATCAATACACAATGATGAAAGTATGTTTCCCATGGTACAGCTTTGCCAGACAACAGTGTTATTACCCGAACTTTTAACTCGGAAAGTCACACAGCCAGTTATCTGACCTTGGTCTTCTCCACCTTACCTACCTTTAAACTCCACTTAAACAGTATGTGAGCTTATTAATTGTGTTTGTGAAATATGTTTTAAGGATATTTTGAGGAGTAAATGATAATAAAATAACAAAAACCTATATGTATATAATTAACAGAACCTACACAAGTGCGTCACTGAACATCACACTGTGCTTGTATGAACTCCTCTTCTGCCTATGCCTCATCAGTGCCTGTTTGGTCTAATCTTTCTAACTCTGTTTTGCAAAACAATGTAGTAATTGCATCATTTCATCACTAGAGGTAAATAAATTTATCATGCATTGCAGAAATGATATGACCTTTAAAAACTGTTAACCAGACTTAAAGCAAGTTTTCAGAAGCAGTGCAAAGGAAAATCTTGCTCTTTAGTAAATAAAGTGTGTTGATACCCTAAGTTCAACAAACAATCCAGGACACTGGAAAAATTAAAAGTTTTGATAATTTTATCTGTGTGGAATATGCAATGCTTGTTTATGGTTCAGATGTTATCTTCTTGCTAAGAGAAAAATAAAATGCTTTTTGTACTGTTGCCAAGATATGACTTAAGAAAAACAGTGAATTCTTCATTTCAGGTTGTGTTTTCTCCCTCCTGTGCTTCTTCCATCCAGATACATAATAGATTTGTGGAAATTGTCAAAAAGTCCTTCTCATGTAACTTCCTGCACGTTTTGGAATGCGCTTTAAGGGATGATAATCTCTAATAGAAGTTTAACATTTCAGCTGTCCCATTTCAGCTATTCAGCTGGCTGTGACACAAATGGCTCTTTATATTTATTCAGACTTTTCCAAATCAGACACTGCTGCAAAGAGCATAGGATAAAATTTATTCTCTAAGAGAAAATCAGCACAAGGTCACACAAATCTCATGTAAGCCCGAATATCTGGCCAAATGCCATAAAATTTGAGTATATCTGAATGGTTTTTGAAAATTACGTGTGTGACGGTCCACATTTGTATCACATAAATAATTTAAACTTTTGGCCCGAGTTGGGAACAGCAAGACCTAATTCTGTATAAAACCTCAGTAAATACTCATCCAAGCTGTTGCCTATACTATTCTTCGAAGAAAGAAACCTGAAAGAAGCAAATAATGGATATTGTTTACATTAATAATATAAAATTTAAACAAGCCCACAGAAAATGGTTTATCTCCCTGAGGAACTGGACAGATGAGTTGGCATCAAAACACTGCTTGCTCTCCTGACCATGCCTCCCATTTGGATTCTGCTTTGTTTTTGCAAACCGTTGTAATAGTCTATTTTAATGAAAAACAAATTGTAAGAAAATATTTAAACAATACAAAAAGTGTGAATTGAAAAGTCTGAGCAGTACTGATGTGTGTGCACATGCATGAATACAAATATGACACGTTAAAAAAGAAAGCCAACGAGGCAGTGCTACCATGGTGACCTTTCAATTTGTAGAAATTCAAGCCCTGTGCTTTGTGTTTTAGCACTTTTGGAGCCGTCATCTCAAAAATTGTGTATCAATCACCTTTGTTTGCAAAGGAATATGGGTCAAGAATGAGGACACCTTGTCTGCCAGGCTACATGGCAAAGGTGTGGACATACTGACATCCTGTTGACTCAAGCTGATGATCTCCCCCTCTGCCTTTTTGGGGCACTTCTGTATAACTAACACCAAAGTTCATGATTCAAAGTCATGAGGATGCGTGAAGTAGACGTTTTAGTTTGATAGGTTTTCCTTTAGAGGGACAAATTGGTTTGTTTTTAATGGCCATGTTTAATATTTATGTTACAGATATAGGTCAGAAAAAGACAAAGAAAAGTTCCTGGCACTCGCCACACCGGCGACTGCTGTTGCGTGTGTATGCAAACACCAGATGATGTTCACAGCTAACAAGGGCCAGTTGTTTGCTCTCTTCTTGTTCCTTCTTCTGAAGGAACCCCACATGCATTTTAATGTAAAAACTTCAAACTTTACTTAAAACCCTTATGCACTTAATGCAAATCAGTTGCAACTATGTCATGAGGTTGAAGTCACAGGAACGAATACTTCTCATGAACTGTTTGAATAAAGCATACAGCCTGAGATGTTGCTGTGATTTTCTGTGAAATGCAAAATCCCTTGTTGGAGATGACACAAAATTATGGGGTTTTTGTTTCAGAAAGGTACTAGATTTCCATGTACTTGTGATGTGTAGTCTTGCTCTGAGTTGTTGTAGATGTTACAGGACAGATTTTGCCTGGGGAACAGGAGGCTATAGACATCTGGGAGAAAGGAGTTTAATTTTTTAAATTTTCTCAATTAAAAAATATTTTTTGCTAACTTGTTTATAGCCTAACATGAGTGGAAACTTATCATCAAGCATGTGGAGGTATGTCCAAAGACATCCAAACACACATTTAATTTTGGGAAGCCATAGCCAGGGTCTTCTACAGAGAACACTGCATCCTGGGGTCCGTCGTTGTTATTCATGCATGATAGGTTACTCCAAATAGTTTGTTCAGAGTATTTCCACTCTGCAGACTCTAGTGTAGATGTAGCTTACGTTAAATGAGCTCCTCCAGGTCTAGTGTAGCCACCTGGAGTTAGAGGCCAAGTTACCCTGCTGCTTGGCCAGGAATTTTAACTTGTTCAAATCTCAGCGTAGCTGTAGCTGATCAGCTTCCATCACCTGAGCTAACACTGTCTCTGTACCGCGCAGCAGACCCTCAAACAGCTCTGTTGTATGTAGATGTGGGCCCAGTGTGTTTAGTGTTTTAATGATGGGGGACCACAGTTTTCAAGTGAATCACAAAGTTCATCAGAAGCCACAGAGGACACAGAACTTCAAAGTGACCTTTTGTTTTTGGTACTGTCCATTTTATTGCAAGGTTTGATACTGCCCAGGATCAATAATAAGTTGTTTCACTGCAGCTCAAGATGGATTTTGATACTGGCTGTTTGCTCAAGTATCTGATTTATTCCTTCAGATAACCCTATCTGAGCGAGTTCTTCATGGAACGGCTCTGCGAGGTTCTCATTACTGGCCCTGGAGAGACGCTGGTTCGTCAGACCTGTTTCAGCCATCCAGTCTGGCCTGAGTGCAAGCCCAGGGGGGCGAAGTTAGCTGTCTGCATCGCAGACCTCTGCTTTGGATCCGGTGAATCCCACCCCCAGTGTGCGTTAGTGAGCCATCTGGTCTGCAACAAGGTCCTCTGCGTGGCCGAGAGGGCAGTCTACATCTGCTCTTTGCTCAGCACAGGCAGCACCTCGCAGAGCCCCTAACTATGGTCGTGAAGGAGAGCTGAGATGCTCCTCTTCCTCCTGAGCAGGCTAGTACATACTCCGCCGAAGCTGGGCTACCAGCCCTGTGCTCAGCTGGGGGTATCTGAAGGAACACCTCTGATCCTTGAGCAAACAGCCAGTATCAAAATCTGATTTTCGTTTGTTAGTCACACTGTGTATCTTGAAGGAGAGGCTGGTTTCTACTGGTGAGCAACTGGTTGTGCCAGCCACACCAGGGTGATAAAACTTGAGTTTTGAATAGCTGTCAGCACAGAGGTGTGTGCTCCAAGCAGTGCTCAGATATGGATGTTTGCTAACGGGTAACTGTCCCTCTGCTGTGCCACGTTCATTGGACAGGACAGTTACATAAAGCACCTCAGAATAAGACCAGTCTCCATCCTCCAAGAGAGCCCCGAGGCTGTTCCTGCTCGGAAGACAGCCAGGCTCCAGCAGCAACATGTCTCAGCTGGAAAACGCGATGGGAATGACCATTGCCGTCTTTGACAAGTATGCAAAGACTGACGGCAACAGGCAAACCCTCAGCAAAGCAGAGCTGAAGACCCTCCTGGAAAAAGAGCTCCCAAACTTCCTCTCGGTAAGAGAACGGGCGGCAGCATTTCTGCGCAGCGGCTGCGAGGGCTGCCCGCAGGCACAGGTTTTAGTGCATTAGAGGGGGAATTACATCGGGAAATATGCAATGGTTTGTAGAAAAAAAGCAAATAAAAAAGTCTTTGTACATACTGTGTAAAACCGATTCTAATATTCAGGGCCATTCCCTGCTTACTAAATTCATTGCTCAAGTTGTCAGGTCAATGGCTTTGAAATAGATGGGGTTTCGTTTTCAGGATTCACCTGCTGCTTCTGTTTATCCCTGGGTAAAGCTCATGTCATGCCACAAGTGCTGTGAAGGTACTTGTGTTCTCAGCAACTGAAGATCTTGATTGCGGATGGGGAATCTCTCTAAATATTTATATACTTACTTTCTGTAGGTATTTATACTACATACTCGGTATGCACATCAAAGTGATGCATAAACAAGAACAACAGATGAACTAAGAGCAAACTGGTTTGCATTTGTAAAAGAAAGACCTGAAAAAATATTTTACAACATAGATTTGTATGTAACCATCATGTGCATTTAAATAGCTTTTTATATACATATATATATAAAATTTCTCTTAGTAGGTATTCAAAATGCTTCATAAATTACAGCAAAAGCTGTAGCTGCCTGGGAGAAAAAATGCTTTTCATTTTCAATTGTTTTTTATTTGCTTCCCTTCACTAGAAATCCAGAAAACAGTTTTAAAAGTCTTGTTCTTTCCACACAGGAGTAGTGTTTATCTATCTGTTCATAATTAGTATTCTTAGTTGCAAAAGCCTAGAACCAAATGTTCCAAATTCCAAACTTTTCCTATCCAGCATAATTCAATTTTTTAACAACTGTTTCAGCGCACTGCAGCCAGGGTACTTGATGCAACTTAGTATCTTCCCTTGCAAGCGATATGAAATCACGGTATGAAATCCATGCCTGCTGGATTTATGACCCACAAACGAAATACAATATTTAGAATAAGAACTTGGATGGCTCTGGGGGGGATAGATGAAAATGCCTCTGAAAAAACTCTGGAAAACAGATCAGTGGTTGTGACCCACAGCGCCATAGGAAGCATCCTGTTCCTGGTCAGGGAGCTGTGTGCTGCCTAGCGCACTGCCACGTCAAGAAAGACAAAACTAACAACAAAGCCACAGTTCTAAGGGGGCATGGAAATCCCCTGCAAACTTGACATTCGGTTTAAAAAAAGCTGGGGAGCTGCTGCATGGGATGATGCTCAAAGGTCATTCCTGACTATACGCTTACTGGCCAGGCACTACCTTTTCCAGTTCCCCACAGCTGCTCTTACTGGTTCTACTTATTTCATGAAACTGATGGAAAAACTGGAATTTTCCAGGGAGATAATTAGCTGAATGTCATCTTGTGTTCTAGTCTCCATTTCTCTTACCATTTTTCCTATTCTAGATTAAAAAAATAACACAAAATAACATTTTATGCCAGTGCTTAAAATAAATTTAAACCAACAATGTCTTGCCTTGTAGAATAATAACTGCAAGAAAATAAAAAGATAAAGTAAGTCTGACTTCAGAAAAAAAGTTTTACCTCCATTTCATTGACACATATAAATATTTTGTTATTTGCAAAAATGTTCTGGGAAATGGTGTCTTTTAAGTATTCATATATATTTCTGGTCTTAGAATTGGTTATACCTGACACAGCTCAAAACTACCTGGAAAGGTTTTGAATCAGTCAGAGGCAGAAATAAATCCATACCACAGGACTGAAGGATTCAGAAGGAATTCAGAGGCCAAGACTAGTTCATGTATTTCACTAAATAATTTAAAATATTGAGCTATAAAATTAAAACTGATTGTAATTTGCAAAGTGAAAAGGAATAAAATCTTCCAGGCACATTCATCAGTCAAATCTAGGGAACTGGTTCAACTTTTAGTGCTTTTAAAAGAGCATATTTATAT